CCTGCCAACAATATCCCTTCGGCTGCCTTATTTCCACCATAGAGTCTGCTATCCGTCTGTTGTCTTTGGCTTTCTTGAATTCTGGCCTATTTGGACGTGCTCTCAGAGCTGTCTTTGTTTTATTTCGATGTATGGACTTGCGGTTGGGTAATATTTTGCGTTCCTTGCGGTCCTCTTTACTCTATACCGGATACATGGAAAATGGAGGAGTGAAGGGTCACAGATTGTACAGCGGGAGGCGTCTTGAAGCTGAACGAACCCTCGCACAAGGAAAATTGAAGGGACTTAAATTGGGGCGATGAAATATTATCACGCTCCCAATTTTTAGGGCAAGATTGTTCAAAAAAAAAATTAACAAGACACGGAATATACGATATATATTTGAATGCTTGAATCGTAATATAAACTCAAATGCTTGAATTATAAAATTTATATTTGAATGCTTGAATCTTAATATAAACTCAAATGCTTGAATCGTAAAATTGTAATTGTAAGTAAAATATTTTAACTAATTATATATTAAGAATTTTAATTAAGTAGTAATTAACAATATAATATAATTAAAATAAATAATAAAATAAACAATAAAAAAATTCAAACATCTTTACTTTATTTACATTAATTCTTCTATTTCTTGGATAAATTGATTCATTTACTTTGTTGATAGAAATGAGTTTTTTAAAATTTTAATAGACTATTTAACATTAATTATTATATGAATTTGTAATTTTTATTTTATATATTTGCCATTAAAATAGAGTAATATATCAATTGATATATTAATAGTTTACATAATAAATTATAAAAAATAAATATGTATTTTAATTTTATGAAAATGAAATTCTTGTATTGTTTAAAAAATTATAATAATTATAGTTAAAATGAAGTCTTTGATTATTAAATTGTACAAGTTTTGCAAGATATAAATTTAAAATAATAAAAATGTTCAGGTATAAATTACCAAAATATATAATTTTATATTTTTTTAAACTGGGTATAAATTACTAAAATATATAATTTTATATTTTTTTAAACTCGTAAAATCAATCTAAGTTTACCGAATTTGAATAGATTTAATCAATTTTATTAGTTTTCAAGTTTTAATTCAATTTGATACATTAAATATATAAATATATGTTAAATTCACTTTTTTTATAACATTGTCGCAGGTTTCCTCTCTCCCCACTTCATTTTCTAGCCACACACTCTGTTAAAGTTTTTTGCAGTGCAAAAGGGACAGTTTAGTTTTGTTGTTGGAGCTTGACTCTTTTTCAGTTTCAATATATATATATATATATATATTATTATTTTAGATTATAATTTAAAAAATATATATTACTTTTATCAATTTCTAACAGAAAAGCATCATCCTAAGTACAACAATCTTAAATGTAGGGGTGAGCAAAAAACTGATAAACCAAACAAAAAATAACTGAAAAAATTAAATTAATTAATTAAAAAATTACAAAAAAGTTCTGATTCAGTTCAATTTTAATTTTTAAAATCTGAAATTAATTAAATCAAACTAATACTTAAAAAAACAATTATAAATATCATGCTTTTTCTAACCCTAAACCTAAAACTTAAACTTTATTCTTTGCATTTCCTAAATGCAAAAGCAGTCACCCCTTCCCCCTTCTCTTTGCCTCTCTCCCCTCCCCTTCCTTTTTTCTTTGCAACTCTTCCCTCTTTTTTTCTTTGCATTTGTCTTCTTTGATTGAAGAAGAAGACTAAGTTGGTGCAATTGAGTTGGATCAGTTTTCATTAAAAATGAGTTTAGGATTTTTTTCTTTACATGTGTGTGGTAGTGGCTTCAAAATAAAATGGAGGGAAGATTGAAGAGGAAAAAACATGAATTTTTTAGATTTGTTTTTTCTTATTCAAATAATAATATTTTGTCGATTTTACATTTTAATAATATATTATTTTTTGATCTTTTCTTTGTTTTTTTTCTCTTCAGTCAAATCACTTTTGTTCTTTCCTTTTATATTGTGTATTTTTTTGCAAAGTTTAATTTCTAGGCAAAGATCTAATAAAAACAAAGTCGAGATTGAGTTTCTGGATATCATGCATGCCTAACTAATTTAAAATAAAGTCATACCTGTTGAGAAAGTTAAAATTCTAATTTAAAACAAAGTCATACCTGTTGAGAAAGTTAAAATTTTTTTGTTCTTTCCTTTTATGCTGTGTATTTTTTTACAAAGTTTAATTTTTAGGCAAAGATCTAATAAAAACAAAGTCGGGATTGAGTTTCTGGATATCATGCATGCCTAACTAATTTAACTAATTTAAAACAAAGTCATACCTGTTGAGAAAGTTAAAATTTCTCAGAAAATAAGCACAAAAAACACATATTTGTGAAATTAGAAATAAATAAAAAATAGAATCCTTGAAAAAATATGATTAGTAAAAAAACCTGAAAATAATTTTTGGTTTAAATTGGTTTGGAGGGGAAAAACAAAACCAAATTAAATATGATCGGTTCAAACTAATTTCCAGTTTGTTTCAGTTTAAACATTTTAAAAAATATAATCTTAGTTTGATTATTTATTTTGATCCAATATCGAACCACACAAAAAAATGCTCACCACTACTTAAATGACATTTATTTACAGGCAAAAAATCACCATTGGTCTTATGTTTTCAGGAAATGGAGCTAACATCGTCACCCATCGCAGGAGGAAAGCGCCCCCTCCCAACCTAAAGCAATGGAAGGCTTCTCTTTATGATTTTCATTTGCATTTTAGTAAGATCCTGTCCCTCGAGTCTCCATTGTAGTCTAGCAAAATAATTAATTAGTTCTTGTGATCTTAAGAATTATTATTAAATCTCCCCGTTCTTATATTTAATCTAGTCACATGCAGCACTATCAGCCGAAGATTCATGGTCGACAACCGGAAATTACCAAGAAGAGTCTCCGATGACCGATAAACGGAAATACAAGATGGTGTGAGGCTGAATGACAATGATTACTCAAATGTCAAGTGTGTGTATATCTTAATTATTATTTATTGGAAAATATTTAGATATAAAAACTTTATGATTTCAGATATTCATATAAATATTTATTATGCAATTATTATTTATTATTTAATAAAATAAAATAGTAATATGTGTGTGTAGATATTATATTAGTTTTTAAAAATATAAAAATTCTAGAAATATATCAATATAATAAAAATATATATTTTAGGTTGGATTTAAATTGAGTTTGAGTTGTATAATATTTATGTTTTATTATTTAAATAAAATAAAATAATTATTTATATAATACTTGAATATTGGATTGATTATAATTTAACATTCTCTTCTTTAATAGTGTAGTTGTGATTATTTTTCAAAATATTTTTTTATTAAAAAATGTATCAAAATAATATATTTTTTAATTTTTAAAAATTATTTTTAATATCAATACATCAAAATAATTGTAAAAAACTAAAAAGATATTAATTTAAAAAAATAAAAAATTTAATTTTTAAAACAAATAACTTCTAAGAATATAATTAGAAAATAAAATGATATCAACCGGCCGGCCCGAAAACGAAGAGGCGGGTTCTTATGATTACACATTGAACAATGCTGATGTGGGAAATCATAAACCATTACAGATTCAACCACGTGATTTCTGACATTAATTTGGGTCCCAGCCATCCGACGGAGAAGCCTATCCCATAACACTATCCCGAGTGGCTAAAAAATCCTACGTGTCAGCGTCACCTTAATTTCCATGTGCTTTTGCATACTTACTTCGGTCAAGTGGCCTCCTTGTTTTACATTGAATGAAGAGTTGAAACAGTGTTTTTTAGATACCGATTGGTATTATATTTATAAAGTATTTTAAAAAAATTTTAAATTTTTTTATTTTAAATTAATATTTTTTTATTTTTTATGTAATAATCTTAAAAATAATTTTTAAAAAATAAAAAAATATTATTAACATGTTTTTAAATAAAAAACACTTTAAAAAATAACAACACCCACCCTTCCAAACATGTTTTTAAAATTTAAATTTGTTTTTTATTTTTTTAAACTAATTTTTATGTTTTCTAATCCCTTTTATATATTAATATTAAAAATAATTTTTTAAAAATAAAAAATATATTATTTTAATATATTTTTATAAAAAAAATTCTACCTTCTAAACAATCTCTAATTCTAATTCATATCCATAATACAATCAATTATTGAGGACAGAAGCTTCCTTTCTTCGTCATTATTATACTCGTATGAAAACCCTAGATGAACCACTAATCAATTAAATACATAGAGACGTATCGAACTCCATTAAAATTAGCTTGACAAGTTTACAAGATTTTAGAATCTCTACAACATAAACTTCATTATTATTATTTTATTTTAAGGTTATATACTTGGCATCTTAACCTTTCTTGATTTATACTTCATGTATATACAATACATCTAGCATTGTGTCCCAATCAACAATTTTTTTTTAATTTTTTGTTTTTAAAATTAAAATATAACAATTCAAACAAGAGAGTAAAGGGTGAGAGGTTAATGGTTTGATGATGTGACAGGATAGCTTGACGTAGTTGTTTTTAATGGTATTGGTTCATTTTTAACACTTGATGTTGAAATTAAACTTTCATATAATTAAAAATAAAAATAAACTTCCATATAATTATTTTCCGCATAGGGACAAAATTAAGGATTACCGAATGTCATTTTTTTTTGAAGTTTTGTTTAAATATTTCTATAAAAAAATGTGTCTGTATGTAATTTCTATTTTCAAAATTTATTCTAAAATTATTTTTAAAACAAATTTATTTTATGTTTTATCTCTGTTTCTTCATGTTTGTATCTTTTTAATGTATTTTATCCTGCAGTACCGATAAAACACAACAACATATGTCATCTATCTATCTATCTATACATATATATATATATATATATTCTCTCTGCAACATATGTCATCTATCTATCTATCTATCTATCTATCTATCCTACAATACTGACCAACTTACCGAGAACAGAGATCTTTCCAGGGAGATGCTGTCGGAATTACAACACTATATAAGCTCTTCATGCAGTCCATATAAATGACTCGGTCCTCTCTTTACTGAAAAAGAAAACAAAGTGATCGAAGAATGGAGGGTGGCAGGCAACCACTTCTCTCCCCACAAAACGATCACCAGAATCGAGACCAGCACTTACTATCAACAAACTCCTCCATCGCCTCCTCCTTCACTCCTGATCCTGATGACATCCCTCTAATCAACAGTGTCCGTGATTTCTCTATAGAATTCTGTAGAGAGTCCAAGAAGCTATGGTATCTTGCCGGCCCTGCCATCTTCACCACCTTGTGCAAGTACTCCCTTGGTGCTATCACTCAGCTTCTTGCTGGACATGTTGGCACGGTGGATCTAGCTGCTGTCTCTGTTGAGAATTCTGTCGTTGCTGGATTCTCTTTTGGTATCATGGTATATAATTAAAAGCTACCTGTACATGTAGTAACAATTAAGGATACAATTGTTTTGTTGATCGCTTACAATATGCCTGTATTTTATTTTGGACCTTATTTAATTCATGCTGAAAGTATATATGCCCTTACGCATAGCTAGGTACTAGGTAGCAGCATTTTATGTGTATATATATAATATTGGTAATATTTTGTCACAGCTTTTGATTGGTGAGTAATATTTGATCATTGAATCTGCAGCTTGGCATGGGGAGTGCCTTGGAAACACTTTGTGGACAAGCGTACGGAGCAGGGCAGCTTGATATGCTAGGAATCTATATGCAAAGATCTTGGGTCATTCTTAATGCCACAGCTGTTATACTTACCCTTTTATATATCTTTGCTGGACCATTTTTGAAGCTTATTGGTCAGACAGCAGAGATATCACAGGCGGCAGGGATGTTCTCGGTGTGGATGATACCACAGCTATTTGCTTATGCAATGAACTTTCCAATTGCAAAGTTCTTACAAGCTCAAAGCAAGATGATGGTTATGGCTGCTATAGCGGCAGTGGCCTTAGTTTTCCATGCCGTTTTCAGTTGGCTATTGATGCTGAAATTAGGGTGGGGTCTGGTGGGTGCAGCCGTGGTTCTAAACGCTTCATGGTGGTTCATAGTGATTGCGCAACTGTTGTACATTTTAAGTGGAACTTGCGGGGAAGCATGGACCGGACTTTCTTGGAAAGCTTTTCAAAATCTCTGGGGATTTGTTAGGTTATCTCTGGCATCAGCTGTAATGCTTTGGTAAGAAACCCATCACAATAGCAATTCTCTTTCTCCTTGATTGTTAATTATGACCCCATTTACAATTACAGCTTTAAGTGACTATGCTTTTGGTAAATAATTTCGTGCAGCCTGGAAGTATGGTATTTCATGGCATTAATACTGTTCGCTGGATATCTAAAAAATGCTGAACTTGCAGTGGATGCCTTGTCTATAAGGTCAGTTGTTCTCCTGTTAATAGTAAACATCTCTGCCCTGCAGCATACGCTTAGTGAACTTGAATCAGCACACCCAATCTGACCCTGTTTTGGGGCTTAAAAAGTCAGGAAAGGATACGAACATAAGCTTGCCTCGCTGCTTTCGTTTCCTTATCATTGCCTCCTAACAGAACAAACCCCACCGTCCTTGTAGAAGAAGATAAGTACAAGTAAAATTACGTGTCTGATTTGGATTCATGATCTTTCCTTTGAATACGTTTGAATATTGAAATATAAGTTCATCGGGTAATGCTTTCATCTTTGAAAGGAAAAAAAAAAAAATCTAATAATCTAACGCGTGCCTAGTCAAAGCAGATGACAACATGTTACGTTCACATAAACCCGGTCTTAATAGTTATTTAAAGGATGTTTGAGAACGTAGATGTAGAAAATTAGTGATGTCGATATTAATATTTCATGCTTTTCCATGATAATGACATGTTAGTAATAATGTTGGACGGGGTGTGAAGAAAAAACTTATATGGTAAATTATGCATGTATGTGGTAGATAAACGTTTAAAAAAGTTGGTAAAAATAACCATTTTGGACCCGATCCAACACCCTAATGTAGAATCTATATTTTATATTAAATACATTGAACCTGACAAGGCAATTCAAGATTTTAATATAATTTTTTTAAAAATATTATTTTAATTTTTAAAATAACAGAGTTTTATAACTTAATATCACCACAATCTTCTATCACTGTTAGCTTTATTGCCGGTAGTTGTGCTGATAGAAGTGGTGGTTGGCGGTAGCCATCATACTATTAACAAATAATATATTATCTAAAGAATTTTTTATTTATTTTAACTATCACCGTATATCATCATCTCTTGCAGCAATGCTAGTGGTGATAGATAATGTAGCGAGGAAGGAGTGTTAGTTCTATCACGAAGAACAATATTTGTTTTTGAAAAAAATAAAATAAAAATCTGTATTCCTCCTCTCTCGTGCATGGGACAAGACATTGATTTTAGTAGCCATTCTCGCATTTCAATCAATTTTCCTCTTTATTTTTCTCCAACAAAACACCATACCAAATCTTGGGGAGAAAAACAGGAGTCGTCATTTTCATTCCTAGTAGGCTCGCAGACAAAACTCCCCTGCAAGGTGTTTTTATATGTTTGCAATGATCGGATCTTTGCCAAGACAACACTCCATTTCGAATTCGCATCCTGTTGACAATGCAACTCAGCGAGTTGTCCTGCTTAAGTTTCTCTTCATAGAATTGATATAGAGAACAGGAGTGGTGATCAGTCAGTCATTTGTTCGTAGAAACAGAACACCATGTAAGAGATAGAAAAAAAAAAACACGACAAAACAAAATGTTGGTTTCGCTCGAACCTGCGAAACTAGAAGGTAGTACTTTCGTCGATTCTATGCGCCTTTTTCAAATTTCTTTGGAATCTTAGCTTTTTTGGGAGAAACAAAAAGTAAAAGAGAAGTATATATGATGGAAAATCTTGATGAGTGGTACATTTTTTGAAACAGAAGACTACAAAATTAAAGATGGTAAGCACTTGTGAAGAGATTATTCAATTATTCTGATACTACGTCCAAAGGCTAATCAATTAATTTGTAATAAACCACAAGGGCTAAATAATGTTATAATTAACTTGCGATTGGAATAACCTTATTCGAATAGTCTCAAAGTTATGTTAATTTGTTTTTTGATGAACCATTCGACTTTGCAGCACCAATATAGTGGGCTGGGCGGTCATGATAGCCATTGGAATCAACGCAGCCATAAGGTTCGTAGAGATTCAAGCCTTTCAACATATTACACACACATCGAAAGAAATAGATAGAGCAGCATGATATTTGAGTTTGAACTCGTTGATGCATGCAGCGTGAGAGTGTCAAATGAACTAGGAGCTGCCCACCCAAGAACAGCGAAATTCTCTTTAGTAGTGGCCACGCTAGCTTCGCTTATGATAGGCCTCGTAATCGCGCTAATTCTTGTCTTGGCACGAAACCTATACCCAGACTTGTTTACGAACGATGCTGGAGTCAAGGAACTAGTAAAGCAGCTCACACCTCTCCTCGCTGTCTGCATCATCATCAATAATGTCCAACCAGTTCTCTCAGGTAATTAAGTTCTTACTATATATACGTTCTCCTAGCTACGTGCATGCTGGCTTTGTACTCCTTGGGTGCTGTATCTCAGGTCCGTCGACTCTTACAATACATCTTTAATAAATGGATATGGTGGTGATCTCGTTAAATTTAAACAGGGGTGGCCATTGGAGCAGGATGGCAAGCTGTTGTTGCTTACGTAAACATAGGGTGTTACTACATATTTGGAATTCCCTTGGGTCTCATTCTTGGTTTTTGGCTTCAAATGGGTGTCCAGGTTAGCCTTGTATTCCCTTTAATTTATAGTGCCGAATGTACAAAGTTATACAATTATCATCATGTATGTGGACATTTTTATTCAAATTACGGCTGATGAGGGAAACAAAACTAATAATTAGCCATAGTTACTAACCCATTGAAAGCCAGAGTTACAAGCTAGATTAGATAGAATAACCCAAGTGAACTTAAAAATAAAATCATTTTATATACTATTTAAATAAAAGAACTTTAAGATTGATCCATTAGATCACTGTTGTTAAATTTAATAAGTTTAAAAGCAAACCCAAGTCCTGCATTGATTGTTTTTTACAATGTTTTTATTTATAAATATATTAAAATAATATTTTTGGTTTTTTAAAATTTATTTTTAAATATAAGTATTTTAAAATATATAAAAAATAATTTTTTAAAAAAAATTATCAGTCTCTCCGTTTGTACCGCAATGCCATATAAATTTAATAACTACACTTGTATATGATAAAAGAGATGCTCGCCATCAATCAATCATCATGCATCTATCTAACCGGCTCCCCTAGGTTTTCTTTAGAGAGTCACATGATCATCAAGTGCGAGGCTGATGGACGACCATAATGAATGGTTATATATATAATTTCTTCTGCTCTTACCGGCAATTTTCAGGGAATTTGGATTGGAATGCTGACAGGGACGGCCGTACAAACTGCCGTTCTCTTCTGGATGATTGGTAAAACCAATTGGAACACAGAGGTAAGTTCCTAATTTTTATTTCAAAGAAATATCCATGAAAAGTACAGATTAAGGATATTTTTCACATTCAGGTGACCACCTGATGAATAATCTTTTATTAAATGCAGGCTTCTGCTGCCGAAGAGAGGATAAGGAAATGGGGTGGGGAAGATGATTCCAAGAATAAAAAAGGTGAACAATAAGAGAGATCCAGGAGTGGAAGGGCCCCCATTTTGATTAATATTGTTACAATTTATGGATAAAATATATATATAGAGCTTCTTATTCTACCTTAAAAAAAAAAAAAACTCTCTTCTAGTATTTACAGAATAAACAATATAAAATTGTAACCAACAAGACAAGGATTGTGAATTTTTGCACTTAACTTGCTGGTGTTTCATTTCACTACTCTTGTTGTTTCTGCGTCCGTCATTATTTTCTGAGGCAGAACCACGTCTCTGGTTTTGTTTGCTGTTTTATTTTATTTCTGTTCTTCGTTCATGATTCTATTACCAACAGTATCTGCGTGAAAACTAGTGTGTAAAGAGAATCATACTTTGCTATCCCAATCCTTTCCCATTCTTTATCGGGAAAGCATACAGTTAGATGTCTAGTTGCTCGTGAGACTCGAGAAAAAATCTTGTTAGTTTATTATTCCTGTAGAATTCAAACTCCAAAGTCTCAAATACAGTGGTCAACAGCCAAGAAATATATTCTTGTGGGGTAAATGATACAAATAGAAAGACATTTCATGATTAAGGACAGAAGGATATGTTTACGTATGCAAGTTTTTTGGAAGGACTACTATTCAAAGATTTACAAACCTTATGAATATCTCAGAGAGAAGGCAAAGCACGCCAATTATTAGCAAGGTTCACGACATGATCACGTGAAGTTGCTGGTAGTTGTTGTAAAATCACATTCTTGACATGAACAGCTGCTGTTTCACCAGCACGAGTGGCAAGTTCCAGGTAAACTACAGCTTTCAACTTCTCTCCTTCCTGTCCAAAATATTACCATAAGATCCCCAGGCAAGCAAAAAAGGAATATAGAGGCCTATCTAAATAGTTCAACCATTTACAGGATCCCATGTGACCTCTAAAAACATCACGAGGCTTTGAAATTGGGTTTTAGCTGTGTTTAGGGTGGATTGCAAAACTATGCTTGGGTAGTTCATAGCCTATATTTGGGCAAAGCACCAATCCTTGTTCTTTTCTGAATCACACTGGTTTCGCCTCATAAAAAAAGAAAAATTAACAAGAGCAACAACAAGACAAAAGCAATTGAGAGATCACAACTCGAAAACACGAGTCCAAACACAAAGCCAGGTAGCCATCCTTGGAAAAAATTGAGATAGCAAAAGCGACATTAAGTCAAATGTGTCAAGTATTAAACTCTCTCAATTATGCCCTTCCCATCCCCATTTGTTATATTCTCCCACCTCAATGCAACCACTCAAAGCACAAATTAAATTAATCTACTTTTGGCACTGCCTATCCTGCATATATAAATACAGGTTACATCAATAGTAACATACCGAAAAGAGTCCAAGTCCATGCTCATACTGAGCTTTGCTATGACCACGATCGGCTGCCCGCTTCATCCATTTCCTTGCTTGGCGATGACTCTGAGCCAAACCTTCCCCAACTGAGTAACACAATGCAACACGGTACATCGCACGCACATCACCACCTTCAGCCGCTTTTAGATACCATCTAGCCTGTTTGAGAGAAAAGCTCATTAGTTCTGAACTGACAAGCTAGTCCACAAATTTGTGGTAGGACGAGAAGAGAGATGCTTACAGCCTCGTGTAGACGACGATCAAATCCACAACCTTGATGTAAACAAAGTGCGAGTTGGTATTGAGCACGAACATGACCAGATTTGGAAGCCTGAAACAACCATTTCTCTGCTTCCTTTCGTTTTGAAGGTTCAGCTGCACGTCCAATAATAACCATAATAAACACATCCTAGCAACTCATGACCAGATTTTGCTTTATTGGAGGCTAGTTTTTCCATAACCTTTTTATTTATTATTGTTATCATTTTCTCATTTCTTTTTGTGGGATATTTTAAAAGTGATCAAAACATTGGCAACACTCAATCACCCATTTCAACAAGCAAAAGAAATTACAGCCTATGTTCATGTCATGCTTGTAAATATTTATGACAAAAAAAAAAATTGCATTTTTCTAGCTTTTCTACAATTTTTCTTTCCCTGCAGCACTTGCATTGCACAAAACAGAAACATAACTGCTATTTCATTTAACTTTAAACTCCATAAAGATGACTAGAATGCAAAAGGTACTAGAAAAGGAAATTAAGAATTAGATACCTTGCAAGTAAGAAAGTCCAAGATTACACTGTCCAGAAGGGTCTCCAAGCACTGCAGCCTTTTTATAAAGGGCAATTGCCATGTCTCTTTTACCAGTTTCCCAATAAAGAAGACCAGCATCAACCATGGCGCGGGTGGACCCACGAGCCGCGCCTTTTAAAAAGGAGTCGAGAGCCTTGTCCAAATTAGGTCGCACACCTCCCCGTCCATGCTTGAACCGCTTTCCCCATTTTAGGAACAACAAGGCTTCTCTCAATGGCCGAAGCCCTTCGCTCCATGACTTGCACACCAACGACGCCGCTTGCAGATGAGGCAGTGTGAACGATGCCGCTATTTTGGTCAAAATATCGGAGGGAAGTGTCGAGAAATCACCATCTGATGTTCTTATTTGCCGAAAACCTGCTTCTGATGATAACCAGAATTTAAAGGTTGATTGACGGTATTGGTGACCAGGCCAGGTTCTCTGCTTCATATTCTTTGGTGGAGTGGAGAGAGTGAAGTAAGTGGGTGGTTACTGCCTTACTCGTAGATGCGACCCGCCGACTACCGCTTCACTGGTCATTGCTTTCATAACCACGGCATCAATTACGTGGGGCCGCTAATCTCTGTGGCCGGCCCACCTGAAAGTTACCCTCTCAGCATTTCGTATTCGCCGGATCCGATCCAAAGATCCAATAATGACCCTGGGTCTTTGGACGTGAGTCAACCTACCGAGTTAGTTGATGTTATGTGTTTCGTGATAGGGTGCATTATATTTTATAAATATATTCTTCAATTTAGAATATATTAAAACAATATTTTTTTAATTTATTTTTATTTTTTAATATAAAAAATTAAAATCATTAAAAATACATAAAAAATATTTTTTGAAACTGAAATTATTTTTAAAAACAGAAACACCAAATAAGCAATTAATTATCTTAATAAAATCACATCCATATTATTAAAATTGGTGAGCTGATAATATATATTTTTAGTTAATGCAAAAGATTTAATTTTCAAATATTAATCTAAGTAATTTGATTATTTTTTCAAAAGTCAAGTTTTTAACACCATCAAGGATTTGACTAAATATGGTTTAATTACACATCTAACCCAAATTAGATGTTAAATCGTAAAATTTCTAAATTAACCCGCATAAATGAACGCAAACTGTTATTTCTTATGATTATGAATGAAATGGAGCCTCAAAATGGAACTCCGATCTGTTTCCTTACCCAGAAAGCCCAGCCCAACAATACAAAAGGCTTGGGTCCATAAATGAACGCAAACTAAAAGCTAGCTGACCTTTGTCCATAGCAACTAAGCCCATTCCACATTTTTTAAGGGATGATTTCCATTTCGATCCGGGTAAAAAAAACTATTTTTTAATTAAAAAACCAATAATTTAAATAATATAAAAAGATTCAGGTAATTCGAAATTACTCGGATTCTCTTTATGGTGTAAAGGGAGAAAACATTTTGACTCGGAAGTAATTACCCGAGATAAGAAAATTTCCTACCGCATCATCTCACCCTGCAGGATGTCGGCTGCAAGTCTATCCATAACAAAATAGCATTTACTAGACTAATGTTTCACGCTACGGATTTGTATTATCTTTTCATTAAAATAATAAGACGTCATATGAGTACTTTTAAAAAAAAAATAACTTGAATTATATTCTATGTCAACTAAATAAGTTAATTTTATAAAAATAATAAATTATTAACTTAGATTAAATGATAAAATTATAAATAATACATTTTTTATAAAAAATTATGGAGAAAAACTAAGAAAACTCAAGAATAAGAATCCAATTTAAAACATCAACACTTGATAAAAATTTAAATATATAGAATTTTTCAACATGTTTTTCACATGAAAAAAATAGTAAATATAAATTAAAAAAATTATTCATGCATCTAATCAAATAAATCACTAACACATTTTGTAAATAAATTTTTAAAAAAATTCATGAATGATAAATAAAAATCTAGTTCAAAAATTTGAAGGACAAATATAAATCAAGATATTTAATATTGCAACATAGATTATTTATATAGTTGTGTTTGATGAATTTGTTTACTAAAATTAATTTATAATAGAAATGGACACGCATAAAATTTATTGAATAAAATAAAATAAAATAATTTTTTTTATGATTATCTGCATATATTAAAAATATTATAAAAAACACATATTGAATCTATATAAAATATGAAAAAATATTACAGATGAATAATACTAACCTTTAAAAAAATTAAACACAACAAATATAACTAAACAATAATCACCATTTCAAAAAGGCTAGATAAGATTTTAAAAATATCAAATAGAATGAGTATTAATTAAAACATAAATTTAAAAATTATTTTACAAAAGATATATATAAAAGTTATTAATAAAAAAATCAATTAAAAAAATAAAATTAATAAATACAAGTACTGCTAGGACTAGTAAGCCAAGCCTTGCGCCTGACCCATCTATAAAAGGCCAACACATGGACTTTTAATTTATTTTTTAGTTAATGGGGTAAACGACATGTTGTCCGCTCTAATGTTTTGATCAAAAATAGATAGGATGTCATTTGTAATTTTCACTAGATTTCAGCCATTTAGTGACCGAAAATACAAGGCTTGTTTTTTTACTCAAAAACTCATTTTCAATCTATTTTTTACTCAAAATATTAAGGACAGACCTTGGAAATCTTGTTAAAATAATTTATGGTCTCACAAAACACAAAAAACTTCCACAAAACACAAAATCAACTAGAAAACAAAAATCTTTCACAACTCGGATATGTTTTTCTAGGTATTTTCAAAGTAAATAAAACATATAATTTTAACTCTCTTCATCATATAAAGTCATATGATATAAAAACCAACCATTTTAATAATTGAAATCTTTGTCAACAATAATTATTCTCTTTAAGCTAAAATCCAACAATCCTCCTCTCTCATCCACTAAAAA